TAAAAGAATACAGTAGTCCCCCTTATCCACAGCAGATACATTCCAGGACCTCCAGTGCATGTCTGAAATCACAGATAGTAGCAGACTCTATATATAGTGCCATGTTTTTTCCTACACATACATACCTGTGACAAAGTTTAATTTCTACATTAAACATAGCAAGAGGTTAATCTTAATAACTAATAAAATAGAATAATTATAACAATGTACTATAATAAAGAACATATGAATATGGTCTCTCTCAAAACATTTTATTGTACTTTTGTCTTTTCACTTAAAGGAAAGCACTTTATCAATTCTCTTTGTTATATCCAAATCACTAGCATCACAACTCTTGTGTTTTGGAGTCATTATTAAGTAAAATTATGGTTATTTGAACACAAGTACTGTGATAGTGCAACAGTTGATCTGATAACTGGGATGGCTACTGCCTAATAGGGAGGCAGCATATCCGGCATGCATATGCTGCTTTAGGGGATGATGATTTGGGATGGTGCAAGATTTCATCATGCTACTCAGAAGGGCAACTTAAAACTTCAGCATTATTTCAGAAGTTTCTCATTAACTTCAGACTGACATTGACCATGAGTAACTAAAACCACAAAAATGGAAACCACAGATGAAGGGGACATCTAATAAATCAGTGAAAACCATCAAAAGATATTCTTTACTGAAGAAGTTGAGGCTATCTGAAAAATAACTAAAGCAAAAAAGGGATGGGCATGTGGCACAAGTGGTAGATCACCTGGCAAGACCTTGAGTTCAAACCCTCATACTACAAAACAACAAACAAACAAGCACCCAGTTTACTGGCTTAACTATAGAACAGTAAACACTTAATGTTTTTCATCATTCTGTGGAATTGCTGGGGAGTTCTGATCTCAGCTCAGTTGGGATTGGATGCTCTAGAATGGTCTGGTTCACATGTCTGGTGATTGGCAGGTTAGTTGGTCTAAGGGACCACACTCATACTTCTGTAAATGCTTAGATGTCAGATGGGGTAATGACAATGTGTTATCCCTCAGGTTAGTGGGGATTATCTACATGGTGGTGGAAGAGTTCCCAGTAGCAAGACAGAGTTAGCCCTAGTTACAATAAGACTCTCCTATCACATCTGCTAATGTCCCATGTTTCTGTGATGGGGAAGGGAGCACTTTTCTGTTTCAGCTGTTGACATCATCTAGTGGGGTTGCTTTCCAGGCCCTCTACTATACCCTGATAAAATCAAACAAGTCAGCAAGGAGGTAGATCTTCCTAGGGTCCTATAGGAATATAATTCTTAATCTCAAAAGCAATGGGAAGCCATAAAGTAGTTTAGAAGGAAAAAAGATCAGATCACTTGAGCTGCAGTAAGAATAGTCAGAAGCTTTGACAAAGCAGGGTGTGGTAGTTTGTGCCTGTAATCCTAGCATTTGTAAAGTGAAGGCAAAAGGATTGAGAGTTCCAGCCTGTCTTGAAAAAAATGAAAAAATATTTTCACAGCAAGGAGAATAGTGAGATAAGGCTTTAGTCATAGATCAAGAGATAGGCCATAATTATTATTATTATTATTAAGCAAAAAATGGGTACTATGGTTTAAATGCTTCCCCTGAAATTCATGTGTTGGAAACTAATCTTTAGCGCAACAGTATTGGGAGAGGTAGGAGGTGATTAGGTCATGAAGACCCTGTTTTTATGAACGGATTGATGGTACTGCAGAAGTTGGTTACTTATCTCAAGAATAGGCCACTTTGCCCTCTTATTCTTTTGCCCTTCTGCTTTCAGCCAAGGGATGATGCAGCATGAAAGCTTGCTCCAGATGGGGCCCCTCAAGGCTGGACTTCCCAACCTCCAGAATTATAAGTAAATTACCCAGTCTCAGGAATTCTGTTATAGCAATAAAAACAGAATAAGAAGACTAGAGAAGGGCTCAAGTGGTAGAGCAGTTGCCTAGAAAGCCCAAAGCCCTGAGATCAATGCCAAGTACCAATAAAAAAGAAAAAGAAAAAAAAAAAAGACTAAGACAATGGGTGAGTCTAGAGTTTGCGTGAATTCTAACGGAAGGATCCAATATTCTAAGAGACTAAACGGAGATTCCTGAGAACTGAGAAAGGAAACCATATGAAGGTTTCATACAGGCTAGAACACACAATCCTCCTGCCTTCACCTTTCAAATGCTGGGATTATAGGTATGTACTATCATGCCAAGTTTTTTTTTTTTTTTGAAAGGTTTGGTTTTAAGGGCTGGGGATGTAGCTCTGGGGTACAGCACTCACCTAGCATGAAAGAAGGCTCTGGGATTGATCCCTAGCACCAAAAAAAGTTTGGCTTTTAAGAAAAAAAAACTTCATACAATAAGATTGACTTTATTTTTGTCATATATAGCTTGATGAATTTTAACATATGTATAGATCCATGTAACTACCACCATAACCAGGATTCAGAAGAGTTCTATCACCCCCAAAACTTCCTTTTCACTATACTTTTATTAGTTACCCTTCTACCTCTCCTTGCTGCTGTCAATCACTGACTTATGCTCCATTACTGCCCTTTTAATATGTTTAAGAATGTCATTTGAGACTGACTTGTTTCACTCAGCAAAATGCCTTTATTGTTATGTTATAATGCCTAATTTTAGCAGATATCAATTCTGCATTCCTTTTTCTTGCCAAATGACATTCCATTAGGAATCAAGTTCTGATAGCATTCCCCAGGTCAGTAAGCAATACCACTACTCTACCAGTTACTTGGGTCCAAAATCTTGGCATCCTTCTTGACTCTCTCCTCCGAATGATACAACCTGCCTTTCAGCAAATGTTGGTGTCTCCACTTTCAAAATACACCTGGAATCTGATCACTTCTTATCACCTGAATGGCCATCATCTAGTTCAGGCCACCATCATCTTCTTCCAGGATTAGTACGTCTACCTTAGCCCTCTACCCTTAGAGTCTACTCTCTGTTTCACAGCTTTTACAGACTTAAATCTGGTCATGTTACTCTTCTGCTGAAAACTACCCAGTAGTTTTAGAGATAATAAGCAGAGTTGCTATGGCCTACAAGGCCCCCCGTGATTCGGCCCCTGGGTACCTCTTTAATCTCATCTCCTACCACCCTATACCCCCCAAAATTCAGTCTGTGTCAGCCATAGGGCCTCCCTGCTATTCCAGTGACGTGTCAAGCATGTTCCTTCCTCAGAGCATTTAAATTTGCTGTCTCTCTGCTGGAACACTTTCTCTAGATATCCACATGGCTCACCCACATCAAGTCAATTCCAGTTTTTGCTTAAGAGCTCCTTATCAAAGGGTTTTTCTCTAATACCTAAAAATAGCAGCTACCTGATACCACTGCTTAATCCCTACCCTGCTTTGTCCTTCATAGCCAGTATCCCTGACACATATTTGTTTCTCTGTCCTCCAAACTAGTAAAGACACTTGAGGGCAGGAAATTAATTTTGTTACCACTCAATAAGCTGAGATGAGTGCCTGGCCTGGGATATACTGGGAGTTCAATGAATATTTTTTATTACATAATTCATAGAAAAGACAGGATGGACATTCTATATTTTCTGTTACTTATATGGTATAATAATTAGGGGAAGTGGTATAGGAGGTGTAGGATTAGCAATTTGCAGAGATCATGAAGAGCAAGTTAACTCGAATATAGTGACATTTCCAGTCACAAAGTCCATTTAAAGGGTGATAACTTACTGATACCAATGTGTTCAGCAGAACAATTTTGTTGTTTTTTGTTTGAGACAGGTCTTGCTATGTAGGTCAAGCTGGCCTCAAACTCACTGTGTAGCCCAAGGTGGCCTAGAACTCTCCATCCTCCTGCCTCAGCCTCTACAGTGCTGGGATTACAGGTGTACACCTGGCAGCAGGACAATTTTCTGTGGCAAGGTACAAGCATGGAGAAGTATGTAGGTCCATCCAGGATGGGGGTCTTATTTGGGGATAAGGAAGCGTTAGGTGGGGATTGAGATTAAGAGCGGGATTGTAACGATGTACCATTGACTCTAAAATGGCTAAAGAAGGGAGCAAAGAGTGGAAGAGGTCAATGTATATGAGACAAAGTAGAGGCTTTCAGGAGATTGGAGGTTTTGATAAAGTGAAAGAACACACGCTAAAATTCTTGAGCTGTCAAGCTGAGAGGATAGCAGGCTGTGGTTGGACAGGGGGATGTTCAAATTACGAATTTATGACGACACTTTCTGGTGACAAGGTCCAGGTTTTGACTGGGATCGGGAGGCTGATGTGTAAGCGGTACTTAAGAGATGGAGCTCGAGTGGGTTGTCAACCTAGACTGAAATAGTCAAGGAAGATGGGCAGAGGGGACAAAGTGAAGACAAGGACTTGCGTGACAAATCGACAGATGTTCAGTACGGAGGTGGTTAAACGGACCGCAAAGGTTAAGAGGAAGCGTCGGAAAGTCAATGGCTTTTACAAGGGGCGCCGGTATTCCGCACGTAGGCCTCACTTTTGGAACCTGGGAATGAAAATACCCATCCGTGTGAGGGGGTTCCAGAGGCTGCAGCATCCTCAGGACACAGCCAGGTCCCAGTCAAAGAGCCGAAGAAGCTCTGAGAAAGCTGATCTAAAAGCGGCAATGCCTGAGAAACACCGGTTTGAAGACAGGAGACTGGGGAGGGGACCGAAGCAGCAGAAAACTCTTAACACTTCTTCAGCTTATTAACCACCCCTTCTCCTCCTCCCCGCCCACTTACTACCCGAAACACCTTAACGTCTGCAGTCGGCAAACAACAGTGCATCCAGCCCCGGCTCTTTTCAACTCCCCGCGGAAGCACGCCCACCGGAACTCTTCAGGTCTGCGCTTTCTCATTGGCTGAAGTCTCCACCAGCTTCAACTCACTTCCGCTTACGACTCAGGTGGGCGGAGCCGTCCCTAGGAGTCGCTTCCGCCTCGCCCCACCTCTTGTTTCCTTTTTAGCTGCTTCCGGCTCGAGACCCCGCCCCAGCTCAGGAGCCCCGCCCCTCTCCACCCCTCCCCCGCCCCGGGCTGGCAGGCCGGCCCCGCGGCGCCGCTTCCGGTGCGGGCCCCGCCCCGGCTGTGGCCCCCGGCTGCGGAGAAGTCGGAGACGCAGCTGCTGCGCCGGGGCCTGAGCCGCCGCCTCCTCCCTTCTAGCGAACCGGGAGCGCCCCGCACAGGTAAGCTGCGCGGATCTTGGCTCCCTCAGCCCCGGCGGGAGCAGGACTGTGGCAGGTGGAGGGGACCGACATGGGGAAGGAGGCAGGTGTGCAGGGGAGAAGCGAGGGCGCGGGCCGGCGGAGCGCCGGGGCCGCGGAGGAAAAGTGAGAGTGCTGGGAGGAGCCCTGGGCGCCCGGTGCCCACAGGGGTGATTTTAGATAAAGGGATGGGGAGGCTCCGGGGCCCCTGGAAACTGAAAGGGCCAGGATAGGTGGGGTTGGGGCGATCCGAGAAAAGCCAGCGGATTGGCCGGGAGGACTTGAGGGGTAAAAGTGCGTTGGGGTGCTAATAAAGAATGGGAGGGAGTGACCCGAGAGAGGCTCCAAGGGCCCCGGGGGTCCGGCAGCGAAGGTAAGGGGAGTGGTCACCACCACCGGGTTCAGACCTGCAAGCAGTCGCTTGCTCCGGGTTGGGTGGTCCGGGAACTTCAGGGGAAATGGGGAATGATGGGGTTTAGATTTCTGAGATGTAAGTTCTCTAAATGTAGTCAGACGGTATTGTTTGGATCACTGGCTATTTAAAGACTGGGGTAAGATGGGCTTTTTGGGGGAGAATGTGTGTATTGTGAGTTGTAGAACTGAGTCATCGCAGACCTACTAAAGAGGCTGCGGGACCTCTCCCCCACTGCTGGGGGCCTCTCCCCCACTGCTGGGGACCTCTCCCCCACTGCTGGGGGCCTCTCCCCCACTGCTGGGGACCTCTCCCCCACTGCTGGGGGCCTCTCCCCCACTGCTGGGGGCCTCTCCCCCACTGCTGGGACCTCTCCCCCACTGCTGGGGGCCTCTCCCCCACTGCTGGGGACCTCTCCCCCACTGCTGGGGACAGCCTGCAGAGAAGATGGTGCCACAAGACAAGAAGCAGTTGTTAGGTGACTGTCAGGACTTGGTTGAAAAATTACTTCTGATTGAGATTGATCCACTGCAATAATTATAATTTTTAAATGACCACTGAATTGTTTTATTCTATTGTTTAATTTTCTTTGACCCAAATTGTTTTTCACTTTAAATGGGCACTTTTGCCAGCAGAATTTAATGTCCCTGTTTTCGTGCCTTGTTAATCTCGAAGAAGAGCTAAGGCAGAATGGAAGTGTTGCTGCAGGCATAACTCATACTTTGTAAACTGCCAAGAGAGGAAGTAAAGTCAGTAAGAGGCAAATTGGAATTTGAATCACAGAATACAAAAGGCACAACCACGGCATCTAAAATAAACACAAAATGAGAGTTTAAATCTCTACTTTGTGTGTGTGTGTATGTGTGTAGCTTTAGAAATTGTTCTTTTTTTTTTTCTTTAACAGTAACGTATAAAAAAAATCCATAAATCCAAGCCGTTTTTGTTGCTAGGGATGTGATTACTTTGCCTCAAAATTTCGAAGGAGCTAAAAACATTTTGCTTTTTTCATCTTTCAACCCAATCCTAAAATCCTGTAACAATGCAGATATCAAGTCCTGACCTGTGCAATGCAGCTTCTTCTTTCAAGTGATAACAAAATTGCACACCGTGTTGCAAGTCTTGTTCACCCCTAAATTTGCCCTTGCATAGTAATCCATTCACTTAGGGAGACTTGCTGAGAAAACATAACTCAAGTGAAGTTTGTTGGGGGGTGGGAGCCTGGAGGGGAGGGGGCAAGGGTGTGAAAGGGATATGTGTTTGGAGACTGGTTGGTAAGAATGCAGATAAACCTGCCCCCAGAATACTTTTAGCCTGAAAACCTTTTCTTTTTGTATTCTTAATAGCATAACTATCATACTAGAAGTGAATCAGAATAAAAGGGGTTGTGAGATTTTTTTTTGGTTTTTAAAAAAGAGGCATTAGCTTGTTTAGACAATGTTGATACCTGTTTCAAATTAATTAACTTTAAAATCTCCAGAGGAATTCCTCTCCCCCCCCCCCCCCGTTTGTTTTTGAGCAAGGATTGCAATTTGAGACTCTTGACTCCTTGCTGTTTCTTTCTTTCATGTTGTTGAAATTGGATTCTTTTTGAGACTATAATGTCCAGTTAGCCTGCTTCAGTCCACTCAACAAACAGGCTGGCAATTTGATCTGAGAAATTCAAAAAGTTTAAGCCCGAGAGTAGTTTGCTTGGTCTTGCTTTTTCTGTAAGAGAAGTCATTCAGTCTGCCTGATAGTTCTGTGTCTAGCTTGGATGGTTATCTTTCTCCAGTGGGCCTGGGAATATAAGCAATATTCTCTCTTTCACAAGCGGGCCCTTCTTTTCCTTTATTATTGTGTTTTTCACAGTTACAGTTCAGTTACTTTTGGATAATGAGCAGATTACTGTTTGATAATGTGAGAGAGAGAGAGATCAGAACACAGATATTAGCAGAATAAATATCTGGATTTGCTTCCTTAAAATCCTTCTTTAAAATCCTCAATAGTCTACCAGTACTGAGATTCACCCCCTCTTATGTCCTGTTCCTCTTCTTCCTCACTCCTCAAGCCCCACCACTCCAGGTTTAAGAGCATGTGTTTATTGTTCAGAATTCTTAGCCCTTTACTGGAGAAAAGAAAGCCTTTTATACTTATTTTATGTAGTTTTTTCCCCCCTTCTTCCTTGTGGTTTGGCTAATCTCTTAAGGTATAGACCCAGTGTGCCTGCTGGGCCGTGCCCAGGTTCAGAGCCATGCCAATCTGTGGGTGAAGCTTGAGACAATAATGGAGCCACTGCAGCAGCAGCAGCAGCAACAACAACAACAACAGAAGCAACCACATCTGGCTCCTCTGCAGATGGATGCCAGAGAGAAGCAGGGACCACAGATGAGAGAAGCCCAGTTCCTGTATTCCCAAAAGCTAGCCACACAGCCGCCTCTTCTTTCTGCCACACCTGGGAGACCTTCTGGCAGCCCTGCCCTGGGTTCCTTAGCCAGAGTTCTACCTGCCACACCAGTGACCCGAGTGTTTGAACGTAGCAACATGAACTCAGAGCCTGAGGAAGAGGAAGGATTGGAAGATGAGGATGGGGATGATGATGTTGCAGAGGTGGCTGAAAAAGAGGCCCAGGCTGCTTCTAAATATTTTCACGTTCAGAAAGCAACTCGCCAAGAGCCCAGAGCAGCACCCATGTCTAGTCTGCTTCCAGCACCAGGGCTCCCAGCACAGGTACAACAAGCTAAAGAAGACCATACCAAAGATGCTTCCAAGGCTCCACCTTCTGTCTCCTCAGCTGGGCAGTCGAGCTGGAATCTGGATGAGCAGCTTAAGCAGGTCAGTCCTTCTGCTATGGGAAGCCACTGGGTCTTCCTGAAGGCTAGCTAGAGAGGGTACTGGACAGCTGGGGCAGGGGCTGTTCCAGTCTGGACCTTTTCACCCCACTTCACTGCCACACAGCCTAGATATGAGTATAATGAATTTTTTCTTATTTGTTTACTGGAGCGGGGGATGTATGTAGCTCAGTGGTAGTATGTGTGCTTAGTATGCTCAAGACCCTGGGTTCAATCCCCAGAACAAAAAAAAGAAAGAAAGAAAAGTTTGTTTTCTTGATTAAAGCAATGAAGTATCTTAAGTTACTCTTCATGTACTTTGTTTCAAGTTTAATGTGAAAGAATGTCAGTACGATCTGGTTTTTTTTTTTTTTAAAGGAAGGATGAGGTTGCAACAATGTTATGAAGACTGCCTAAAAATGAATTGCATGACTCTTAAGAGTTTTTCTAATAGTAATGTAAAATAACAATTTTATGCAACAGTGCCTTAGTGCCAGGCTAACCCAAGATCATGCTTTTAAGGACAATTTGTTTTTTGTAGCTGAATATAACTGATGAAGTACTTGTATTGTATGTATTTCCCAACAAAGATCCTTATAGACATGATTTCATTTCACCTTTACATCATCTGCTTAGATAGACCTCAAAAAATTCTCTGTTTAGTCAAGGAATACTGAAGTGACTTTAAACATGGCTGAATATCTGTGTTGGTAAGTTTTGTTCTGGTTTTTTTTTTTTTCCTGTGGTGCTAGGGATCCAACCCATGGCCTCACATATGCTAGTAGGGAGCTTTCTAAAAAGTCAGTCTGTAGCCAGGCATGGTGGTGAAAGTCTGTAATCCCATCACTGAAGAGCTAGACACAGGAGTTTGAGGCAACCCTGAACTACAGAGTGAGACCATGTCTCAAAACAAACAAAAAGGCAGACTGCAGCATGAATTATCCTGGAGAGTGGAGCTTAGGGAATTTGTTCTCCACCAAGTCTTTAACTTTCCATTTCCTTCTCTTTGTGACCTATAGTGCAATTTTTCCTCACGAGAGTGATGATAGTTGTTCCAGGATGAGTGATTTATTGGTACTTTAGGCAGGGAATTCGTGATAAAAACCCTTAGTACTCTCCATGTGGCACAGTGGTGCTGTTTAGAACTCATTTCTGAAGAGCTGTGGGCTTACAAAGGGCAACCAAGAAGTCCTTTGGAAGCTGAAAGATCCTTTGGAGCTGAAAAATCAAACATTTTTGGATCAAGGAGCCCTGTGCAGTCGACATGAGTTTTTCAACAATGGTATTTGTAGTAAGTTGTAGACTGAAAAATTGGCTCAAATCCCATCTCTTCCATGTCTTACCCTTCTGATCTTTTGATAATCTCTAAATTGCTCTGAGTCTGTGCCTCCCATGAATGTTGTGAGGATTAGGGAGCTAGCCATGTGAACATCTGTCCAGTGCCAGGCACACAGTAGCTAGTATTACCGTAGGAGCTGTCTTGTGCAAACAGTGCCCACTTCTTCTGCATCCACAGTGACATACTTCTGAAGTAGGGAAGATTACTGAGATGCACAGTGTTCCCTGCCATCACACAGGGAGGCAGAGGCAGAGGAAGAGGAAGACCAGAATCAGAATCCCAGCTTCCACGACAGCAGCTCTCTGGCCAGCAGCCCAAACCCGCCTCTTGGCTGATTACTTTGGTTTAGTGAAACATCTGTGAGTTGCCGGCAGCCCTCACAACTGCTGTGTGGTTGGCACAGTTCCACGCTGGCCGCTGAGTCAGCTCATAGTGGGATCCCGCCCTGACAGCGCTGGGAAAGTTCAGGCCTGAGGCGCCTGGGCTGCCCCCGCCTTGGCAGCTGGCCAGCCTCTGTGTGTGTGCGGTCGTTCCTAGAAAGTGCAGCCGCGTGTGAGGAACAAGTGGAGCTCCAGAGCCTGTCTGTCTTCAGGAAGTGCAGCAGGTGTTGAGGTCAAGCCATTAGAGCTTTGAAAAAAGAGACTCTTCAGAACTGGCGTGTGCATGTGCACACGTGTGTGCCGTGGCAGGGCGCCCAGTCCTGAGTCCAGGATGGCAGCAGCCCCATGGTTACATCGCTCAGTGCTCTGGGGGCTGGCTTTTGGCAACCGAAACCCTTTGAGTTCATTTAAGTTTCTGAGGCATACTTGCTAATTATAGACTGCCTTGCAGAGCATCTGCCAAAATGGTTTCATAAATGGCAGCATATCTGAGGCCTAATCTCTCACCCTAAATTTACCTTCTCCCCTGAATTTGGACATCAGGAACTAAGCCAGGGAGGCGTTAGGTAACTGACTTAAAACCCTAAATATGCTTGGGGTTTAAGTAAGTGTAGGGTTTTTTGTTGTTGTTGCTGTTTGTTTGTTTTTAAACAAGTTTTGCTTTGGAAGGAGGACTAAACTCTCTTTTGGGGAGAAGTCATGAAGACCATGAGACTAGCTCTTACTGTTCCGTGTGTTTTCTTCCTTTTTGGAGTTGCTTCTGCAGAGTGAAAAAAAGAGCAGCCCTTGCTCTAGCAACAGTTCAGAGACCTTTACAGCTGACACATGATCTTACTGCTTTGGTGTAACTGTCCATTTTGTTTTAAATAACAGGCTTGGGCAGAATCCTCTTTATGCCAGGGCTATGCTCAGAGAAATAACGTGCCTCTCCCTCAAAGAGTGCCAGGTCTAGCAGTGGTGCCTTGGGAACCTCCAGGTGGGCTGGGCTGAAGCTGGGTTGCAGTAACTTCACTCTGTCCTGAGTCTGCTGAAGCCTAGCCCCCAATCTGCACTAAGGTGTAGATGTTTTAAAATAGGGTTTTGTTTCAAACATTCACATGCCAAAGTAAAACATTATTTTCTACAGTATAGCTTAGCTTGGCCAACCAATAAGAATACTCGATAAGAATTCCCCTAGATTTGGTGCGTGTGTTGGGAGGCAGACATCTGCAAACTGAAAAGTGAAACTAGGAAGTTTAAGGGTGCCACAGATTATCCTTTGTTTTGAAATCCCTTAGAACATGTTAAGTCAAAATTATTTTATGGATTCCCTTAGAAGAAACTCTCAGAAAATATTTGCTTCCCAAGGTCTGGGTCGTTAGAGTGTAGTACTCTCTGACACCAGAATGATGGGAAGATGGATAACACCATGGAGCCCAGTATTCTAAAACCAGTCAGATTTCAGTGGGCAGAGTAAATAATTGTAAAACAAGAAAACAAAGGACTGAGTGTCCTTTTTCTCAAAGGAGATCACACAGCCTTCTTCGGGGGTGGGGGGCGGGTTTCTCGCCTTTTAGGGGTGGTCTTCTGTCACCAGTAGAGGCAATACAGGCTTTGTCTGTCCTGAGCCCATTAGTAGAGCTAGGTTTCCTTCCATAGAATAGGAAGATGAGCGATGGCTTGATAAGCATGTAGGGGTCAGAGTGTCTATGTCTGGTTTTCTGCATACTTTGGCAGTCACTTTGGTTACTGTGTATGGCTTTGCATAGCCAGCTCAGTGCAAAGCACTAGGTGTCATTGCTCAATAAACGCTACCCCTCAGCCCTTCCTCTTAGTGTGTTTTACAAGGTTTTGTTTCAGGGTTGCCTCCTAGGATGGAAGAGTCTTATTTCAGAAAACTTGGAGTTAAAAGAATTCCTAATACTTCCTAAAGTTCACCAATCACATTCATTAATGAGAACAGGGTACTTCCAATTCTGAGCACCTGGAAGCTTTTTGGAGTGCTCTCAGCTTGAAGGTTATGTGGGCTCTGCATTTGTTGATGCAGCATCTCTGCAGGATGGAAACATAGGAGGCTCTAAGGCAGACGGGAAGAATCACCAAGTTAGATGTGCACTGGGAGACAGAGGGAGCGTAACTTGTGAAGGGGAAATTTTTTTTTTGGAAAAAAAAAATTTGATTTTGCATACAATTAGTAAAATTCTTATTAACCAGGAACAAAATCAAAATTATCCTCATCTTACTGTGAGTGATTACTTCCTGCTGGTCAAATAGCCAGCAGAGAGGCTTCTGCCCTTTTCTCCTAATGCTATGACTGTCTACAGGATTTATCTCTTTAAGTGGTAGGCCCTTTGGTTAGGCCTGTTTTTCTTGGTACATGCTTCATAACTGTGGGATGTACGAGGCTTTTTGTAAAAATTGTGCAAATTACTCCCCTCCCCCAAAAAAGTTTGTAGGCTTTCCCCACTTCCTTTTTAGGGCTGTCTTCATGCCCTTGGCTTCTACAGTCACAGTGGAGTCTTGTCTAGATCAGTGGTTCTTAGTTGAAGGTGACCCTCCTCTACTTTCCCCAGGGGACATTTTGGATTATTGTGACTGGAGCAAGGAGCAGATGTGAGACTTAGCATCTAGTTGGTAGAAGCCAGGGATATTGCCAATCCTGTAATGCACAGCACAGCCCCTCCAGTAAAGAATTGTCCAGCCCAGAGTCTCAAAGTTGAAAAGCCCTGCTTTAGATGGCATCTCTAGAAAGAGTATATGCTGTGCTTTGTGCATATGTGACTACCTTCCAAGGCTAGATACTTCCCTAGACTCTGAACTTTGTGATTTGGTCTCAGTAACTGAAGAGTTACTTCATTTTTTTTTTTAATTTATTTTGCTTTGTGTTTGTTGTTGTTGTTATTTGTTTGGCAGCACTGGGGTTTGAACTAGGGGCCTCACACTTGCTAGGCAGGTGCTCTACCATTTGAGCCACCTTGCCAGCCTTTTTTGTGTTAGGTACTTTTAAGATGGAGTCTTTTTTTTTAAATGCCCAGGCTGGCCTCTTAAATAGCAGTCCTCCTGTTCTCTGCCTCCCAAGTAGCCAGGATTACAGGCCTGAGGGGTTGGAGTGGAGGGCAGTACTGGGTATTGAACTGGCCTTGTGCTTACTAGGCAGGCGGTCTACCACTTGAGCCAGTCTGCCAGCCCTTTTTGTGTTAGTTATTTTTGAGATAGGGTCTCACTTTATTCCCAGGCTGGCCTGAACGGTGATCCTCTTATTTGTGCTTCCCCACTAGCTGGGATGATAGGCAGGTATATGCCACT